GCCCCGCCGCCCCCGCCGCTGCCTCCGCCGGAGCCGCCACCACCTGCGCCGCCGCTGCCGGAGCCTCCGCTCCGGTGAACCGCGGACACCGCCGCCGCCGCTGCTGCTGCCGCTGCCGCCGCTGCAGCCGCCGCCGCCGGGGAGAGGTTGGAGCTGCTCTGGGGCTCGGCGCTGGGGGATACCAACCCGGGGGGCGTGGACGACTCGTAGCCCGAGCTGGCGGCTGGGGAGGACTCAGAGCCCTGCGGGGAGGACTCATGGACCTGCAACACAAAAGCCGGGAGGGGAGACCAAAGGGGACTGGGTGTGAGTGCAGCTGCTGTGGCCAGGCCAGGCCCCCGAAGGAGCATCCCCAGAAATGCCCCCAGCCACCCTGGCCCCGGGGAACCCTCGCCTTCCCAGGCCGGCTGAGCTTGTCCAGGCTTGGTAGTGAGGCGGCGCCGCCGCGGCCCGCCGCTCTGCCCTTCTCCTGGCCACCCGGGTGGTACCTTCATGTGTTTCCGCAGCGAGCTGGGGTGCGTGTAGGACTTGTCACACATCTTGCACAGATAGGGCTTATCGGAGGTGTGGACGTGCATGTGCTTCTTTCTATCGCTGCTGTTCGCGAAGCGCCGGTCGCAGCCCTCAAACTCACACTGGAACGGCTTCTCCCCTGTGGACCGCAAACATGGGCGCTTGCTGTGGACACTCAGAGCCCCCCACCCACCTTGGAGTGGACAAGACCTCTGCTAGGAAGTAAGAGGGGCAAGAAGTGCCTGTGTCCCTTAAGCAGGTCGGGTCCCCTCTGTGGCAGAACTAAGATGAAATTAACGGCCTTCCCCACCTGAGAGTCCTGTTCATTTATTTCATATTTTACTTTTCTTCCAGACTGAAGCCCGTTCCTCACATTTATAACGAATTTGGGGTACCACCCCGCCCTGCCTGCCTTTCTATAGGGCTTCTTGGATTTGTAGCTTCCAACAAGTTAGTCTCGCCATGGAGAAGCTGTTGTTATGACAAAATATTTGGGGCATTATTAAAATCACACAGGCTGCTGGGCTGCTGTCGGTTTCTCCCTGGGGCCAGTAGGCAATTCGATTTGGAATTGCTGCATGTTGTTTGGGGACTGGGCTGTGCATAGTGACTGAGCCAGTATTTTTCATCCAAAATTCCACAAATTGAATTAACTATAACGCTAGTCTCACTTCCAGTTTTTAAAAAATAAGTTGGAGAAAAGATAAATATTAGAGATAAGGCAGCATCTAGCGATTGCAGTGGCACAGGCTGGGCAGTGGGGGTGGGGGATCTCAGCAAAGGCTTTCAAAATTTCCCTGTTTAATTTTCTGGCGGCCCCTGCATCCTGTTGCCAGAATTCCAAATGCTTGGAGTCATGTAGAGGTGTGAGAACTCAAACATTGTTCCACTTGGAAAGGGGACCATTTAAGGTTAAATTCCATTAGCACCTAAACGGTTTTTAAAAGACATCCGCTCAGACACAGGACTCGAAAGCATGCATTTCATGCAAATAAATTTCTCAAATTTTAAACCTTGTTAAAAGCTTGTCTCGCACCTCGCCTCCCTCCCCTTCCCGGAAGAGAACAATGGGCCGCTGGCGCATCCCTACTTCGGAGTAAATATTGACGGGGGAAGTTGCTAAAACATTTGGCTTTCTTTTAGGAAATCGTCTGGAGCGATTTGGCTGGGACCTGGTCATAGATGAATAATCTATGAGGCAAGAGGAGCGTTCTTTTGCAGCTCTCTCTTGTCACGCGATTACGCCTCAGGGCCGCGGTGCCCCGGGCACTCGCTGACCGAGTTGTTTGCTCCAAGTTTGCAATCGCAAACCCTCTGGTGCCCAGTAGAGGCTTTCACAAACTACTGTGAACCCACCACCATAAAACCCACCTCGAGATGGGCTTTTAAAACGAGAAATGCTTTACAGCTTTGACTTACCCCAGACTCATTTAATGGGAAACAGTTCCGGGAAGGGCGTTTGGACCCCGAGTAAAACAAGTGGGAAAACACACGAGCCACTCAAACAGACACACACCCAGAGCAGAAAAGCACATTCAGACAAGCTGGCAAATCCTCTCTAGGCTCCATTCCCGGGCACCGAGTTGGAGAGCAGTTTTATTTTGTGCGCTCTATTTAGAACGGAAATTATTAACCGGGCTGAGCAAACGAAGCAATTGCATCACACAAAGCATACATTTGATGTTACACTGGTTATTTAAAACTCAATTTCCGCACACGGAAAAACCCAGCCCAGTGATATAGTCTTTCTTTCTCCAACAAAAACAAGCCGCTGGCTCTTTCGCACACACACCACCACCTCCCATCCCAGGGCAGAGGCTGGCGGTCGGTGCGTTCCTCTTAGGAAACCAGCCATAGCCTCTCCCCATTCGGTGCCCCGTCCCTGTCCGGGCCCCGCGGTTACCTGTGTGGGTCCTTTTGTGGATCTTCAGGTTCTCGGAGCGCGCGAAGACCTTGCCGCAGCCCGGGAAGGGGCAAGGGAAAGGCTTCTCGCCCGTGTGCACGCGGATGTGGTTGACCAGTTTGTATTTGGCCTTGAAAGGTTTGCCCTCGCGTGGACACTCCTCCCAGAAGCAGACATGGTTGCTTTGCTCGGGGCCGCCGACGTGCTCCACGGAGACATGGGTCACCAGCTCGTGCATGGTGCTAAAAGTTTTGTTGCAGCTCTTCTTGGGGTTGCTCAGCTGCTCGGGGTCGATCCATTTGCAGATCAGCTCCTGCTTGATGCACTGCTGCCGCATGTAGCGGAAAAAGGCACCAGGGTGGTGGTGGTGGTGGTGATGGTGGGCCGCGGCCGCTGCCATGTTCATACCCATGTTCATATTCATGGGGCCGTACTGGTTGTGGAGCTGTGCCGCCGAGTAGGGGTCGGTCCGCGGGCTGGCCACCTGGCGGTACTGCTCCGATCGCCCGAACACCTCTCCAGGCAGCCCGAGGCGCATCTGCCCGTTGAGCACATTCTGTGAGCCGTGCGGCCCGTGCTGCTCGGGGAGGCCCGGGAAGAGTAGGTGGCCCTGCGCTTCCGAGTGCGCGTGGTGCAGGCCGCCAGCTCCCGGCCCGAACAGCCCGTGCTGCCCGCCACCCGGCGCCGAGTCCCCGAAGCCGCGGCTGCGGAACAGGAAGTCCCGGGTGGAGTTGAAGGGCGGCCCAGAGTAGGAGCCGACGTGCGCGGCGTGGGGCCCGAGTGCGGCGGCAGCGGCGGCAGCCGCAGCGGACCCGGGGTAGCCGCCGGGGCCTTGCGACGTGAACGCCGAACTCTGGCCGGGGGACAGCTCGTGCGCGCCCGGGTTGAGCTTGAAGGCGCCCATGTGCGCGGCTGCGGAGTCCACGAAGCCGTTCTGCGCCGCCGCCAGGCTCAGTTCACGGTCCTGCATTTCGGCGGCTGCCGCCGCCGCCGCCGCCGCGGAGTGGTGATGGTGGCGCGCGAAGCTACCCACCCCGATAGCCGGGAACTGCGGCCCCGCGTCCAGGAGCATGGCCAGCGCGCCTGCCCGCCCCGGCGAGCCCCTCGCCTTCTAGGTTCCCACTCCCAATCCAGCGGCCGCCCGGCTCCGAGCGCAGGCGGCGGTGGTGGTGGCGGCTTCAACCTCGGGAGCCGCTCTCCTAGCTCCCGCCGCCTCCGCCTGGATCTGCTTCGGGCGGCCGGGAGCGAAGCGAAGGCGCTGAGAGGAAGA